GGGAAATGCTTATACTAAGAAGAGTCATGCCTCAAACTGAAGTTTAACAGTGTTATCTCACAATCCTAACAAATGCCCAGGATGTCTTTGTTCTTTGTGGTACTGGAGGGAGAAGCCAGGGCCTCACCAGTGCTAGGCAAGTGCTCTACCACTGCACCACCTCCCCGGCCCTGAATGAGTGGGTGTTCCTGCTGCCAGAGAGAAAAGTTTCCTCAGCGCTATGGGCTGGGGAAAGATGAGGTGAAAGGCACAAGAAGGAACACTGGCTGGCAGCTGGGCATGGTGGCACACACCTGTAATCCCAGCATTTTGGAGGCTGAGGCAGGAGGATCACCCAAAAGGTCGATGCCAGCCTGGGCTAGCCTGAACTACAAATTGAGGTTGTGTCTCAAAAAATAAAAATAAAAATAGAAACACGAGCTTGAATGCCAAGGCCTTGAAAGGGCAGTGCCCTCCAGGCCTAGCAGACACCTTCTGCTCTCAGGCCAGCAGCACACACTCTGGAAGCCTGGATGAGGACTAGGCTCCACTGGGCCAGCTCCCAATCACCAGCCTACCCATCCACCCAGCCATTAGTAGTTCCCCAGTCCAGCCCCGTCTGAGCCAGAGCAACAACACAAAGGAACAGGACCGAAGTGGTACATCAAAAGCAAAGCTATGGTCCTGAGTTCGATTTTCAGTACAAAAAAAAAAAAGTCTGCATAAAAGCAAAGCTAGATCTACATTGACCCTCTCCCGGGAGCCAGCTGTGTCACCGTTGGGGCAGGGCACACCCCAGAGGAAGTTTAACTGCTATGGCCAGACTGGCTACATTCACACTGCCCCTGCTGGACATGTGAACACTTCATTCCTGTGGTCCCTGGCAGGACAGTCATCCAGCAAACACTCCCTCCTCCCACAGGCAACTCCCAGCCCAGCCTCGTCACCTTCCCACCTCTCTCCCCTCTCACAGGTTCACAGGCCTCCTGCTCCTGCCTCCACACAGCTGCATCAGCCTTGGGGACCATTTCTGATGTAGCTCAGGGGCCAGCCCCTCAGCTGAGATTTGTGTTTAAACACCTGAGTTGTGGCCGCAGCCTCCTCTCCACTCTGAATTCACCCAGCTCTACTTCCAGCAAAAGCAAGTCTCATCTTGCCATTCCCCAGCTGCACGGTCTTCTGCTTTACATCAGAAGGCAAGTCCCAGCCCTCAAGGACAGAAAAGCTGGACAAACCAGGGTGGCTGAATAAAACAGGTCTCTTCCAGTTACTGGGGAGAAACTTACTCATCTGGAGCCGGGAGGGAGGATCCTGGGCAGGCTGAGGGCCTGGGTGGTCCCGCTATTACAGACAGCTAAGCTAGGTAAAAAATTACAGGCAGTCAGACGGGGCTAGGCCCTGGGGGAGTCAGCATAGGAGATGAAAACACATTGCAACTGTGACCAGAGGCACGTCTGTTGAAGGCCAAGCCTCAAGATAAAGACAAATCACCAGGCCCACATTCCTCCCAGAGAGATAAACAGAAAATTAACATCAGTCACCCTAGTGGATGACCAAGACTCCCGATTCACCTCTTCCTAAAGAGGTCCTTGTTCGTTCCATGTTGCCACGTGACCTGCTTCCCCATTGATCACTAGCCATAATAGGCTATACTCATAATCTATTTTTTTTTTTCTTTTCCTTTTGGTACCAGGGATCCAACTCACAACTTTGAACTTGCCAGGCAGAGGCACTCGTGCCACTGAGTTGAATCCCTGGCCTGTAATCCATCCCACTGGCTGATCATGATTCTGTCCCACACCGTAACCCTCTCCTGATTTTTGTGCCTAGCTTGTGATCTTGTTCTATAAAACTTTCTCTTTTTTTTTTTTTTTTTTGTCTTTTTCCTTTTTATCCATACCGGAGATCGAACTCATGACTGCCTGCTTGCAAGGCAGGTGCTTATGCCGCTGAGCTAAACCTCCAGCCCCCAAAACTTTCTCTTCAGGGCTGGGGATTTAGCTCAGTGGCATAAGCGCCTGCCTTGTAAGCACGCAGTCATGAGTTCGATCCATGGTACCAATAAAAAAAAAAAAAAAAAAAAAAAAAAACTTTCTCTGCAAAGCAGCATCTGCAACAATCCATTTCTCACGTCCCCTCCTGTCTCCAGGAGCTACCTCTCAGTAAATATTTCCTACCCTCACTGCCCTTGTTCCTTAGAATTCATTCTTCGGTTTTGGGGAACACAAACAGCGTATATGACATCTAGCAGATTGGGAGTTACAGTTATTGACTCTGTATCATTTGGAGGTCCCACTGAGATAATTGGAAGTAAGAGTTTGCTTGTGTTTCATGGATTCTGGATTTTGACTTGTTTAGGTACTTAGAAATTACCATCCCTGTTTATGAATTGCTTACACCTTAAATTTTTATGCCTTGTCTTTTTTATGCATTTTTTTGTTTGTTTGTTTTTAAAATGATGAGCTGGGCATGGTGGTGCATTCCTGTAATCCCAGCACTTGGGAGGCTGAGGCAGGTGGATCATTGCAAGGTTTAGACCAGCCTAGGCTACAAAGCGAGCCCAAGGCCAGCCTGAGACCCTGTCTCAAAAAGACTAATAATAATAATACTTAATTAATAAAAGGAGGATAAATTAAGTTGATAGGATGGGGAGATGTGTCTCTGATGGGACATTTTACCTTTGCAGCCAAGGCCTTGGGCTGCTGTTTCACATATGTTGTTTGGACTTACTAGTTGCTGAATTTGTTTGACCCCTTGCATGACTTGTTTGACCTGTTAGACAGCAGTGACAGGGAAAAGTAATGCTAGAGCGTCCCCTTTCCAGGCTGTGAGTGACAACTCATGTGGGCAAGTTGTCTCAATAATTCACTGTGAGCATGAAAAGAAAGGCTTCCTTTTTCTAATCTCATTTCTTGTCTTACAAAAAATTTTCATTTCTTATCTTTTCCTGTCATTCTGTCCTTTCCTTTTTTGGAAGCATGTTTCCAGAAAACATCAGACAGGAAGGAACCTTAAACTGTCTCCGTGTTTTCCTCCCATCCAACAACTGAGAACCTTTAAGTTGAACCCATAACAGTGGTTGCTGTCGCCAAAAACAGGAAATTACCTTCAAGAATGTGTAAGTTGTGGTTGCTGAATGATGGGTTCAAGTTTTATGCAAGTTTCATAAGTGTGTTGCAGATGCAGAGACATAAATAATTTATTTTAGAGGGGGTTTCACTGTGTAGTTCAGGGTGACCTTGGGCTCACTGTGTAGCCCAGCACTGGTCCCAAACTCACAGAAATCCTCCTGCCTCAGCCTCCTAAGTGCTGGGATTATAGTTGTGTGCCACCACACTTGTCCTTAAAATTTTTAGAGTAGATTTTGAGTAAAAGTTAGCCTTGTCTTCTGCTGAGAAAGCTTGCCTCAGTGATTAGGTAGACAACGTAAATGTTGTGGTGATTGTTTGCTATAGCACCCACAGCAGAATTTTTCCAAGCTGTCAGTTGCCTCTGTCTCTGGAGGTGCTCTTTCACAAGTTAGGAAGTGCTCCAACCACTTCCAATTTGCCATTTGATTTCCCCCCTCAGGTCAGGTCTCTTGATTATTGGTTTAATTCTGCCAGCAATGCTTTCTTCTTTAAGCATGGCTGTTATAGCTGGAACCAAGAGCAGCCTGTGCTCCTGGGGAAATGTGCTGGAGTTAGGAGTGTGAGTTTCTGGAGTAGACAGGGACGGAGTCAGTAAGGATGGCGAGGCCAACCCAACCTGTCTCCTGGTCACTTTTCAGAGAGCAGCCACCTCTCTGGATCAGGCCACCTCAGGAGCCTTGAGAAGATACGGAAACCAAGAGGAAATTAAAAAGAGTGCCCGTTTCCCTCCTGTGTTTCAGATGGGGTACTCAATACCGAATGCTCTTACTACTCCTTTGGAACATATTCTTAGGCACTGGGATTATAATACTTTCCTGCACCTACATACGTCCTGCCTACCCACTAGAGACAAAAATGGAGTGCAGAGGGAAGAACTGATTATGGTGCTAGTTCACAACTACAGTGGTACTGTAAGACAGAGGGAAATGACCCAAATGACCTTATGTTCAGACTTTGTACTCAAAATGTAAACACAAGCCACAGGAAAACTCAGTGCAGCTGGCATCCAGCAGTTGGAAGCTACATTTTATTTCCCCTCTGTTGTACCTACCCTAACCACAGGATCTGAGCACAGTGAATCAGTCTAGACAGGGTCTTGCTACGCAGTTCAGGCTGGCCTTGAGCTCACTTTGTAACCCAGGCTGGTCTTGAACTTGCAAAGGATTCTCCTGCATCAGCCTCCCGAGTGCTGGGATTACGAGGTGCACCACCACGCCTGGCTTTGATTGGCCTTTATAATATGCATCACAGTGACCAGCCATTTTTAGGAAACAGTAGTAACAGGAACTGTTACCTGGGCAGCTAACAAAAGCTGAAGTTTACTGGCTGTGGGGGGCATTTTCTACTACAGTACATAGGTCATGAAAAACATACGTAATATGCACCTGGATCTTAATTACAGCATTGTTTTCCTAACTAAAGTTTGGACCTGGAACGGTCCAAACTTTAGTGTTTGGCTAAATAAAATATGCTACAACCATACTATTAAATATTATGTGTCAGCCAGGCATGGCCGTGCACACCTGTAATCCTAGCACTCGGGAGGCTGAGGCAGGAAGATCACCATGAGTTTGTGGTCAGCCAGAGCTCCACAGTGAGTTCAAGGTCAGCTTAAACAACATGGTAAGACTCTGTCTCAAAAATAACGCTATGATTATTATAAAGAAAAAAAGAAAATGAGACAGGTAGGTACTAAAATTAAGTGATCTTAATTAAGATATATTATTATGGGGTGGGGAACATAGCACAGTAATGGAGCACTTTCTAGGATGCACAAAGCCCTGGGTTCAATCCCCAATTCTGAAAGAAAAAGAGAGAGAAAGAAAGAAAGGGAAAGAAGATACATTGTGTGCAAAAGCAAAATGGAAAACAGTGAACGCAGCACATAAATTGCTGATTTAAACATATATATTTAATTTGTATAGAATGTCTCTTTCTAAAGGATAGAAAGGAAACAGTTGCAGTGCTGGGTGTTTTCATGGCCCTGGCTGGGTCCTGAGAGACTCAGGATAGCAGAGGAGGACAGACTTGTTTTTCTGTATCTTTTGAACTTGGTGCATGAATTTCGTATCTATGCATCAATATAATGTGGGTGTGTAAATAATGTTGGAAGCAACATTTCCACCACAGCGCCCTGTGAAAGAAAATAAGAACATAGTAAACAGCTGCGCTGCCCAAGCCACACCCTGTTCCTTCCTGGCCTCAGTCTTCCACCTCCATAATGGGAGCATCGGAGCGGAAGCTTACTGCACTTTTGCTACGTGTTACAGCTCATCACCAAGGCAGAATTGGGGCAGTGACATTTGATGCCTCGGGCAGGTGGAACAATACAAAATAGCACGAATGAGACTAGGAACAGCACTCATCACGGAAGGACCGGGTGACCTCTGGGTTTTGAGCAGTGACCACAGACAATGCTGAATCTACTCGGACTGGAGGAGCGGGTGGCGTGGTTCCCTGCCAGCTCCCGTGTGTGTGTGTGTGTGTGTGTGTGTGTGTGTGTGTGTGTGTGTATGTGAGCTCCCAGGCTTTAGCAGATTCTCACCGCCTCTGCTCACGAGAGCTCTCGGGGAGCCCAAGGCAGGAGCTGAAGCTGGCAGTGAGCAGGGCTCTGGGGGCAGATGAAGAGGTGCTAGGCACAAGGAAGGGCCACGCCTCCTGCTTGGCAGACGTCTTGACCTCTCTCTGGCTTCTCTACCTTGTCAGACTCCGCCTTGCTCGCTTGTCTGCCAACCTCCTCTCCACCTGCCACGCCCATTCACAGGAGGCCGTTCCCACCCCCACCAGGGCCGGGTCTCCGGTGACAGACCCGGAGTTCCAAGAGGCCGGCTACCCTGAGCCTCCCTGGGAGGCGCCAGCTCAGCAATCCCAGCTCCCAGAACACACTCACAGGCCCGGCCTCTGCAGGAAGTCGGTTTACAGAGATTTCCGCCTGGGTCAGCAGTGCGCTTTTCTCTTCACATTTGCAGTCAGTGGAAAAACACGTGGGAATCAGAGGCGCGGAAGCTGGTCATGTTTCCTGTTCTTCATTCTTTGACTTTCCTGCTTGGGTTTTAGAACCAGAGGACTGGTGTTCCAGGCCTTGCTTGGCCCTGGCTCCCTGCCAAAGTCAGTCCCCTTTCTGGCACTTCATCTGCAAGAAGAGAAGGACTCAGGACGCTCCGTGTCAACAGGTGTCACCAAGCGGTTCCAAGACAGGCAGTCTGTGCACGGACTTGGGGAGCAGCTTCCCAGGCATGGGGAGAAAGGAAATTGTCTTACATTCCTGCTGAGAATTCCATCTAGAAGCCGAGGGTTTAACCGAGCAGTCTAGGGCTTCCGGGGCTTCTGCTGAGTGGGCCTTGGCATCAAGTTATCAGTCAGCCTCCACCAGAAGATGATGAGAAAGCGTGAGGAAGCAGAGTGCTAAGGCCCGGGGTCATCCTCAGCCCCACTTGGACAGGGAAACCAGCCCTGTTCTCAGGGCAAGCTGGGTGATTCTGGTTATTTGCAGTCAAATAATCCTAATGTATACTAAATTCTATTTACGTTTTTTTTAAAAAAGAGGAACATAATAGAGATTAATACTCTAGGAAGAATTACATGAAAATTCCTATCAAAACAGCTTAAAAGCTGGGCATGGTGGTGCACCCCTGTAATCTCAGCACTCGGGAGGCTGAGACAGGAGGATCACTGTAAGTTTCAGGCCAGCCTGGCCTCCATAGTAAGTTCAAGGGCAGCCTGAACTATATAGAGGGAGCTTGTCTTAAAAATAAACACACAGTGGGCTGAGGGTTTAGCTCAGCGGCATAAGCGCCTGCCTTGCAAGCAGGCAGTCATGAGTTCAATCCCCGGTACCGATAAAAAGGAAAAAACAAACAAACAAAAATAAATAAATAATAAACACACAAACAACAGCACAGAAGCCAAGAATGACGGTGTATACCTGCAATCCTAGTTACCTGAAAGACTAAGCAGGAAGAGTTAGAAGCCAGTCTGGACAACTTGTTGAGATTCCGTCTCAAAAAATAAAAAGAGCTGCAGATGTAGCTCAGTGCTACTGCATCCCCGGGTTTGATCTCAGAAAACAAGAGCAGCAAAACCCAGAACCCAAAAGGCAGCTTGGAAGAGAGGCCTTTAACAAAATATTTAAGCATTCGCCTCTCTGAACCAGTATTTCTTCATTTGTGTGTAAAATTAGGTTGATAATATCTACTTCAAAGAACCGTTGTCAAAACTAAACCAGATGATTCAAGCAATGATTCTCAAATTGTTGCTGTAATAGAAGAACTTTGGCCTTTACCAAACGACACACCAACCCTTACCCTAAGTGTCAGACCTAGTACCGTAAAAACAAGAGGAAGAAGAGAGGGCAGGCGGGAGGAAGAAAGGAAGGAAGGCAGAGGAATGGGTTTTATCGAAGCAAAACCTTCTTTGTACGGCACTGTTGGGATTGAACCTGGCCGGGTGTTCACACTCAGCTTCCTCCTCAGCCCTGTTGTATGTTTTCAGGGGTTGTTGTTGTGTGTTTGTTTGAGACAGGGTCTTGTTAAATCGCTCAGAATGGGCTTGCACTTCCAATCTTCCTGCCTCAGCCTCCTAAGTAGCTGGGTTAACAGGCATGCACCACCACAACTGCTAAAAACTTTTTTTTTTTTTTTTTTTGTCTTTTTCTTTTTTATCAGTACCGGGGATCAAACTCACGACTGTCTGCTTGCAAGGCAGGCGCTTATGCCGCTGAGCTAAACCCCCAGCCCCTAAAAACTATTGATAAATCAAACATACCAAGTATTGTTAAAGATGTGAAATAACAGGAACTTTCATACATTGCTGATGGAAACATAAAATGGCAAACACTTTAGAAAACAGTCTGGCAGTTCCTTCAAAAATAAAATACTACCATAAGACCCAGCCCCCCACACACACACTTTTTTTTTTTTTTTTTTGTACCAGGGATTGAACTCACAACCTTATGCATGCCAGGCAGGCACTTATGCCACTGAGCTAAATTCCCAGCCCTTGTTTTATTTTTGAGATAGGGTCTCACTAAATAGTTCAGAATGGTTTTGAGCTCATTATTAGCTCAGGCTGGCCTAGAATCTGCAGTGATGCTCCTGCTTCAGCATCCTGAGTGGTGGAACTTACAAGTGTGAGCTACCACACCCAGCCAAATAAAATTTTAAAGAGGGCTGGGGTATAACTCAGTGCAAAGGACCCAGATTCAAATGTAGCACTACAAGAAAAAGAGAGTGAGATAGAAAGAGAGAGAGAAAGAGAGAGAGAAAGAAAGAAAGAAAGAAAGAAAGAAAGAAAGAAAGAAAAGTAGACGGAAGCTAGAAAAGCAAACAAAAAAAAAAAAAAGAAAGAAAGAAAGCAGATGTTCACACAGAGCTTACATCAATGTGCACAGGCGTATTATTGGTAACGATCTCAAATGAGAAACAACTGAAATTTCCACCAGCAATGACTGGGTTAAAGAATGTGGTTTATCCACACAATTAAGTACTATTTAGTGAATAAAAACTATTAATTCACATTGCCTGGATAAAGCCGGGTATGGCGGTACACGCCTGTAATCCCAGCACTTGGGAGTCTGGTGCAGAAGGATTGTTGCACGTTCTAGACAAAGCTGGGCTACAAAGTGAGCTCAAGGTCAACCTGAACTGCATAGTGAGACCCTGTCTTAAAAAGCCTCCCTCCCAAAATCTAACTAACTTAAGCAAAAATTTTGACAGTATTTAAAGACATGGCGGGGCCAGGGATTTAGCTCAGCAGCATAAGCACCTGCTTGGCAAGCAGGAGGTTGTAAGTTCAATTCCCTGTACCAAAAAAAAAAAAAAAAAAAAAGACATAGTAGGGCTTGGTGTACATGTACTGGGGGCCGGGAGGCTGAGGCAGGAGGATCACCATGAGTTTGAGGTCATCCTGGGTTACATAGCAAGTTCAAGGAATAACAGAGTAAAACCCTGACTCAAAAACCAAAACAAAAGAGAGAGAGAGACAGAGACAGAGACAGAGACAGAGACAGAGACAGAGATGAGAGATACAACCTAAAGAAGGTCTGGAGACCTTATTGCAAAGACATGATTATTTACTGCTGCTTTATAATTGAGGAAACAAGGGGCTGGGGATTTAGCTCAGCGGCATAAGCGCCTGCCTTGCAAGCAAGCAGTCGTGAGTTCGATCCCTGGTACCGATAAAAAGGAAAAAGGCAAAAAAAAAAAAAAAAAAAAAAAACCATTGAGGAAACAAGTTAAACTGTGTATCCAAGGTTACCCAGAAGGACTTTGCCTAAGGATTCACACAGGGGCTTTCTCTGCAGGTTGAACACCGGTAAGAAGAAGAAGGAATACAGAAAGCATGGACCCTACTCTGCTATGACCTTCCTTCTGACCCATTGTCCTGTGATTGTCAGGAACCGGCTAGTTCCCGTGGAAGAGTCTGGAAATTCAGCCACGTAAGTTATAAAAGGCAAGTTGCAGTTTGTTTCCCAGGTCATAAACACCACAGCTCTATCCCCAAGGCAGAATCAAGAATATAAAGGGAAACCTGATACTGTGTATCTTTAGAGAATTACCCAGAACTGTGAGGAAGGATTTTGGGAACAAAATAAAACCAAAATGTGATCGAATCTCTCAATTCAGCTACTGGTTTTCTGTAAACACAGGGAACAGGAGAACATGTTGAATAAAACCATCAAGATGCAACTAGTAAGATCCAGATTCTAGGAAAGTACTTAGGAACCCACGACAAACATTCTTCAACAACTAAATTGCAAGAAAAAGCAAGAAATTTGGTTTTTGTTTGCTTGCTTGTTGAGACAGGGTCTCGTTATGTAGTACAGGCTGGCTTTGAACTCACATAGGTAACCCAGGCTGGTCTCAACTCCATGTCAATTCTCTTGTCTCAGCCTCCTGAGTGCTGGGATTACAGGAATGTGCCACCATGCCTGGTACAAAAGAGATGATAGGAAAGGAAATGTATTAATAAAGAGACTTTTGAGACATATTGATCAATCAAAAATAGGTACTTTTGGTCCTAAGTCAAAACAGAAATGATAGTGACTATGAGGTAGAAATGAATACTGATTGTTTGATGGTATTAAGAAATTATTATTATTATTTAATTTTGGTGCCAGGAATCAAATGCAGGACCTTGCACTTGCCAGGCAGGCGCTCTGCCATTGAGCTATATCCCCGGTCCTGATTTTTTTGAGATGGTCTTGCTATGTAGTTCAGGCTCAGCCTGAAGCCATTATGTAGCTCAGGCTGGCTTTGCACTCATGGCAACCCTCCTCCCTCAGCCGATATGGTTTTGGGATTATAGGTACGTGCAACCATGAGTGACCAAGAAATTATTAAATGTTTTGAACCTATTAATTTTTGCTGGGTGTGGGGGCACATGTCTGTAAGCCTAGCACTTGGGAGGCTGAGGTAGGAAGAACACTATGCATCTGAGGGCAGTCTGAGCTACAAAATGAGTTCAAGGCCAGCCTGAACTGCGTAGGGAAACCCTGTCTCGGAAAGACAAAAAAATAATAATTTTTGAGACGTGATAATTATACTGTCCTGTTCCTTATTTTGAAAAGAGTCCTCAGAAGCTGAGCGTGGTGGTGCACACCTCCCCAGGCTCTGGAACACTGAGCCAGGAGGAGTCTAAGTTTGAGCCCAGCAAGGGGAAGTTAGCAAGACATTGTCTCAAAGTCAAAAAGGTGGGGGTCCTGGGTTCAACCCCCAGAACCCAAAGAAAAAAAGTCCTTCTATTTCAGAGGTGTTCAGTGTTTCATATGTTCAAGGTATCATATCTAGATTTTCCTTTAAGATAATTTGGGGTAGAATGGGGAGAAATAGAAGGGGTACAAAGAAGGAATCCTGATTGGGAAGTGATTCTTGTCAAGCCTGGCGATGGATACATAGGGTTCGTTTATCTTTTCTTTCTATTGTTGTGTATGTTTGAGACTTTCCGTAAAACAACATAAATGAACACGCAGTGAGCATCCAGCCATGGAGACTGGCGTGTCTGCCCCACCAGGCTCCCCCACTCCTCAGCCCAGCCTTAGATGGCTCTGTTTAAAAAGTCAAAATCAAGGAGAAGGAGTAACAAAGCACGCACCAAGGTGCTTGAGGGCCCCTTCCCCCAGAGGTAGCTGAGGAGGCTCTGGAAAACTCCTCCGGGTTGGCCACAAGGCTAAATCATCCTACGGTTACAAATGTCATCCAGGCGCCCCCAGGTCTGGGCTGGTGCTTGTGGTACACCTTATCTTAGCTCAGATTTTTGCAGACACTGACCCTGAGGCAAAGATGAACAAGGCCCAGGTTCAGCCCCCAGGGCCACTAACAGAGCAAACAAAAAGAGAAGAGTGGAGAGCTCCCGGGAGCAACGTGCAGGGATAAACCACCAGCTCCGGTGGACTGATCCTGCAGAGGGGAACAAGGGCGTGTTTTCTGGAAGACTGCAAGTTCACGCCCAGCCTGGACAATTCCGTGAGTTCCGCTGACCGTCTCACAATGAAAAATTAAAAAGTGCTGGGAAGGAGCTCAGTGCGAAGGTCCTGGGTCACATCCCCAGTCCTCATTCTTCTTTCCCGGTTTTCAACAGTACTAGCAAA